ATCTTAAAAAAAACAGTTCATGTAAAAAATTTACAGTTAGAGTGGAAGTAGGTCTTATACACTTAAATCTTACAGGCCATTTCATTTGACGCACAAAGCACAAAATTTACGTAATTCTTCTATGTGTGTTAAAAATAAATTTATCGTTGTTTCTAAACTACGCTTTTGTGTGACGATAAATTAATGTTACCTCAAACATTTGTTTGAACTATTTTTTGTAGGATTTTTTGGCAAAAAAATCCTATAATCTTTTTGACAGTACTTATACCTAAACTATCAATCGATAAAAAATGAACAAGAGTAGAAAATGCAAAGTTCGTAAACATAACATTAAGGTAAGCAAAAAAAGAAAGTAGAAATAAGAAAAACGATCTTCGGGTTAGTTGTACAAAAACAAATAAACACGGCAACTATTGGTAAAATTGAAAGAAATAATAATAAACAATATATAGATATAATTTCAAATAAATATATATAAATGAAATAAAAGAAATAATGATTGAAAATTATCCTAAATTATTACAGTGCAACCTCGGTTTTCGAACGTCTCACATGTCGAACAAATTGGTTTGCAAACAGAATATTCAAGATGAAAATACCTCGGTTATCAAACAAAATTTCGGACTCGAAGAACAACATTGCCGAACCGAGCCGAACCGAGCCGAACCAAGCCGAACCGAGCCGAACCAAGCCGAACCGAGCCGACCGAGTTAACCCGAACGAAATCATTACTCAGTCGACCGCCATGTTGTATACATTTGTGTGTTGTGCTGTGCTTTTCTTTTCCAATTTAATTGCACCGTGCCTTTTTATTTCTCTTCATTAGTCTTCAGTCATGGCTCCAAAGAAAACTAATAGGGATACTCGCAGGTATTAACTCTGGTAGATGGGAACCGCTAGCAGACGATAGCAGCGGCTGTCGACATGCTGTTCAAAGAGTCACGGAGGCCGAGAAAAGGCGAAACCAACAATTGGTTATCAGAAGAGATCGAAGGAAGCAGAGAGAGTAATGTCAGACCTTCATTCTACATTCCAGTTTCGCCTGTCACACTTGCAGAAGAGAGTGTCATGCAAAGATTGGATTGTTAAGCCACTCCTGACTCTACTCACAAAGGGACTGATGTTTGACTAAAGAGGGCGCTGTCATTATCTCGTGAGACAAATGGATGCCTACTATATAATGCATGACAGAAAAAAAGACAAATACTTCCATGAGCAAAAGGAAATAGCAGGCTTTTTTTCAGCTTCTTTGGCAATGGACTTTATATATGAGTTTCATTTGGAGGTTAAGGGTGAACTTCCAATGACGTTCAAACCATGGAGCTTCATTGAGAGTGTAACCATTCATTGTAACTGAAGAAAATCTCAAGCAAACAATTTAACCAGACTCTGTAGATTAACAGTCAGTTCAGTTATGTGCCATGCGTGATACAAGCTTAGGTGATCCTGTATCTTTCGATACATGACTGACGAGGCAGATTTTTCTCCGCAGTAGGTTGCCATTTCTTTCTGCGGTAGACCAAGGCTGGAGCGGAGAAGAAGAGGATTCATAGCTCTCCCAAGGGTATTAGCACGTAAGTGAATGTAATGGATTCGACTGGAATTCGAACTCGGCTCTCCGATTACTCAATCTGAGCCGCTATCTATTACTCAACCGTGCCTCCTAGGTTAACAGTACCTGTACTTAAGCAATCTTCATGGCGTATATTAACCCTGTAGACATCCTGCGGATTATAGGACCACAGCTTCACTACGTTTGGTGTTGCTACTGCGGTTTCTAAAGCAAGTAGTTTTTATGGGGAAAAAACCCACACCCAACTGGTTTTGAATTCAGTGCTGTTCTTTTCTTAGACTGGTTGCCAACCAAGGCTAGATAATACGGTCTGCTTGCTTTTGCTTAGTTGCTGAGAAAAGAGATTGGTTCATACTTTTCCCAGTAGTATTTGCGCCAAGGTGAATGTAACAGCCTCAACTGGATTTTGAATTTGACATGCCAATCCAAATTTCGGCATTGATAACCGCTACACTACAAGCATCTCATAGCTCTATAATCCTCCTCCTCATTCAGCTCAGTCAAGATCATTCATTAAGTCTACAATTCCGCTCCACAGTTAACTGTGAACCAGAGTTAGACTTCTCCTAGACTGGTTACCAACCATGGCTAGAGAACCCAGTCTACATTGGGATGGGATTCCCCAACACAGTACTACAGTTAATTGTTCCCAATATTTTCATGGCTTGTATTCCCCAAACCAGCGCCATAGTTAATTGAGAAGTCCATAAACTTTTCAACGTCTCTATCGTATGCGGTTCACAAGGGTTACATAACCGGTTTGAATTCAGAGTTGGTATTCTCCTAGACAGCTTGAAAACCCAAGTTATTCAAACCATAACTAAAGGCGAGAAAAGACGGTTCACAAGGGTATTTGTGCGAAAGCGAATGCAACGAATTCGACTGGAATTCAAACTCGGCTTACCGGTTTTTACTTTTTAACCCGCTAACCGTTCCACAATATTGTAATATTAGATGTAAAATGGCTTGGTATTCCATCAAAGGTGATAATTTTATAAAACAGACGTGTTAAAAGTCTTTCATCACATTTAAATTCATCATTTTTCTAATTTCTCAATCTACAACTGACAAACACGGAAAAAGAAACGTGTTGATCCCAAACACATAGTTGACATTTCTTAATTAAGCTTCTATTTTTTTTCTCTCTCTTTTCAGAAAAGCCAAGTTTTGTAAAAAGAAAATTCCTGCTTCCTCATGACCCCTACCTGTATCCATTGAGCCCTACCAGAGTTCTATATAATGAGTTTGTTAATCAGAAATCTGCATTAACGTGCTGCATTTGAAATGATAACAATGTACATTCATTAACGCACAAAGCTAATGAATAAAGTTGATGACAAAATGTCTGGCTGTCAAAATTTGGAATAAAACTTGAAAATGCTATCAGCATTTTACCTATCAACAGAAAAATCAGGGGCTATGTATGTGTGCGTGCGTATGTCTGTGTGCGTGTGTGTGTGTGTGTATGCATATTTATTTGTGAATATATATATATATATATATATATATATATATATATATATATATATATATATATAACTCTATATATGGTTAACAGAAATATTAGGTAAAACGATGCAACTGGATGTTTGTGCATGTAGACGTGCATGCATGCATGTCAATGCATAAACATCTAAATAAATAAACGACAAATTCTGTCTGTCCGTCCCTTTAACTCGGACTACACTTGCTCTACATAGACATATTATATCTTTTTGGAATCAGGATGATCTTGGCAGTGAAAATCTGCCCTTCATCAAGGTGCTTGAACATCCAGCATTGCGATTTGTGTCTGAATAAAAAGGGAATAGTTTAAAATACAAATTTCAAAATAACTAAAAAGGAATAGTGATTTTAGAAGATTTTAATTTATATTGAGTTTAAAGTAACACAAAAACTTTTTGAGTTTAAAAAAAGAATTGTTTTAAAGAATTGTTTTAAATTCAGTTTAAAGTATCTGTAAAAGTAGACATGCCATTTGGGTTCAAAAGACTTTCCAGTAAATTAGTTTTGCAATGTCCATTAACAAGAGCAAATAGCGATCCTTGGAAATTGTTCACCTCATGCAGCATTGCTTTTCCCATGGTCACGGCTCTATGTGGGTTGTCCTAGAGTTGGAATGGCAACATTCTCTTCATATCCACACCAAATGGAAATCAAGAATGTTGTTTATCCTGCTGCTTGTCAGTGATTTCCATATGTCATACTGTACGAAACAAAATTCTATGTAAAATAATATTGGGATGGAAGGATGTTTCATTATCATTGCTGTTTTTTAAGCTGGATTAGAGGAGGTTCTTTTAGTTTTGGACCGAAGGCCCAATTAGACCTCTGTAGGAGCTAGCTTAAAAGACCTCACGGAATGCGGCTTTTAATCTAGTATAAATCTGGTTAGCAATAGAGAACAAATATTTTCTATAAAATTTCTCGGACGCTCAGGCCAGTACATATAGTTAATACTGTTTATTATAAACAGAGCATTTACATAAATATTTGTATATATAAACGCATAAACAGAATATATATATATATATATATATATATATATATATATATATATATATATATATATACAGAGATAGATAGATAGATAGATAGATAGATATTAGTGGTCTATATATATATATATATATATATATATATATAAATGTACATAAATTTCCAAGAGGATAGAATCCAGGTAGAACTCAATGTCCAGGTCAGAGTAAGAATATAATATGAAAGGCTCAAACACTAATATTCCATGGTTATAATTTATTACATTGAAATCGTAATCACGATCCAATTCATTAGATCTACATATATATATATATATATATATATATATATATAAAATTTCATATATATATATATATATATATATGCAACTTTCATTAAAAACAACAGACAAGGTACTGTGGTTAAGTTTTTTTATACAATTTTTATGTGTTCTTATAATATCTTTCTTTTCTGGTTGTAATTTATATAAAAATTGTCAAAATGTTTTTTACGTCCGAGCGCTTTTTATATGTCCGAGCGCTTTTGGCTATACCGAATTTCTGCACAGATGTTATCTTTGAGTTCTTGAATTTATTGATGTATCCACGCAGTGTTCCACATCGTAACAAGTCAAGGAACCATATCGCCTAAATCGTTGAATCAACTGACGAACCATGAAATCCGATTGTGGTTTTCTGGTAAAAGTGTAATATCAGGTTTGAAAGATGGAATGGCTAAATCTAAAATACTATTCCAAGATTTTGGTTTCTTTTTCAGTTGTGAATTTGTTCAGTGATAATTTTCCTATGTTAATCTAAGTTCTGAAAAAAAAAACGAAATAAAAATATGTAAAATCTGACATGCTCTGACATATTTTAAATATCTAGGTGACTTTTGGTACATCCTATATATCAGTCTGCCTACCCGAGTAGCTTACTTGAGTCAGTTCATGTCTCTTTTTTCCTACGTGAGGCAATTCATATTTTTTTTTTTCTACCCAAATCAGTTTATATCTTTTTTTCATAACCGAGTCAGTTCGTATCATTTTTTTCCTACCCGAGTCATTTCATATCGCTTTTTTCCTACCCGAGTCAGTTCATATCTCTTTTTTTTCCGATCTGAATCAGTTCCTAACTCGTTGCTGGCCATATTCTTTTCACATTTCATTGCCTACCCGATTCTTTTCACATTTCATTGCGTACCCGATTCTTTTCACATTTCATTACCTACCCGATTCTTTTCCCATTTCATTGCCTACCCGATTCTTTTCACATTTCATTACCTACCCGATTTTTTCACATTTCATTGCCTACCCGATTCTTTTCACATTTCATTGCCTACCCGATTCTTTTCACATTTCATTACCTACCTGATTTTTCTCACATTTCATTGCCTACCTGATTCTTTACACATTTCATTGCCTACCCGATTCTTTTCCCATTTCATTGCCTACCTGATTCTTTTCACATATCTTTGCCTACCTAAGCCTATTCATATCTTTCTATCTACAGTTGACTCTCTCCACATCATGCTGCTTACCCAGTTGATTTCATAAATCTCTCTGTCTACCTGAGTTTATTCATAAATCCCTGTGCCTACCTGTCTCTTTATTTATATCTCTGTCTACCCGGCTCTATTCATATATCTCTCTGCCCACCTGGCTCTGTCCAGGGTGTCCCAGAAGCCACCTAGAGATTTAGAAATTTATCTATTTCATCTCTCTTTTTATTGTTCAAAAATGGTTTTATACAGAATGAAAATTCAAACATTTTAAATCATGAAAATTTTTATAATGTCAATATCTTCCATTTTTTTTAACATCATAAAAATGCATTCTTTCTATAGCTTTCCTGATAACAGTGTTAAATAACTCAGTCTATAGGCTTCATATTTTTGCACAGATGTTATCCTTGAGTTGCTGAATTGTCTGCAGTTTATTTATGTATATACCCTCCTTAAGGTATATACCCATCCAAAGGTTTGCATCAGATCAGGAAAACATGATGGCCATAAAATTTCAGAATTTCATGAAAATATCCAGTAAGAAAAAGTTTGATTAAATCCAAAATAAAATTCCATGATTTTGGTTCTTTGTTCAGTTGTGAATTTTTTCAGGGATAATTTCTCTGTGTTAATCAAAGCTCTGAAAAAAAAGAAACAAGAAATATGAAAAATATGACATATTATGAAATATTTTAAATATCTAGGTGACTTTTGGGACACCTGGTATATCTCTTGGCCTACCTGAGTCTGTTCATATATCTCTCGGCCTACCTGAGTCTGGTCATATATCTCTCGGCCTACCTGACCATGGTCATATATTCTCTCCCTACCTGAGCCTGGTCATATATCTATCGGTCTACCTGAGTCTGTTCATATATCTCTCTGCCTACTATATGAAGTTCATATATCTCTGAAAAAAAAAGAAAGAAAAATTAAGAAAAATATGATATGTTATGAAATATTTTAAATATCTAGATGACTTTTGGGTCACTGGGTATAAGTTTTCTTGAATATGACGGATTTTATTCAGTTTCTTTACAGTGATTTTTAAATGCTAATTGTGTGGCTGAAATGTGCGCAGTTTTCATTGCACTGAGTGATTTTGGATTAATTCTTTAGCCTAGTCATTTTCAAGATATTTTTTTTTCATTTTCGTGCTAACAAAAATTGTTAATATATTTGTTGTTTCCTAAACTATATAGTGTGAGATTAGAAGTGATTATATTCTGAGTGAAGTTTTGCTTTGGTTCAAAACAGAACAATTGTAAGGACACTAGAAAAACTGAACTATAAAATACGAAATATTCATTTGTCGCCATAATCAGCGAAACATACATAAAAGGATTGCTGTCCGAATATATTACACACACACACACACACACACACACACATGATGTGCTATATTTATGGGATAAAGTGCTCAATATCAGGGATAAAGCATATGTAAATATAAAAGTGAACATTGAAGTCAACACTCAAAGGCGACGGACTGCTTCATGTTAGACGCAATCATCAAGTGTGATGATTGCGTATATATATATATATATATATATAGAGAGAGAGAGAGATAGATAGATAAGTGTGTGTGTGTGTGTGTGTGTGTGTGTGTGTGTGTGTGTGTGTGTGTGTGTGTGTCATAAATCAGTTACCTATATCGGACATACTACTACCTCCTTGAGTAGACACCTTACATATCTCTTATCAGATCAAAACGCAATAAAAAATAACATCTAGCCAACCGAAATTTAAAAAAATACAGAGAATGTAAGAATGCTGGAAAAATGAATAAAAAATTAATTAATTTTTTCTTTTCTGTCAAATTCAAAGAAACATGTTTAAAAGAAAGGTTGCTGTCATAATATATATTAATATATGTATGTATTGATCGGTGCGTACTAAACCCGAAGAGTCCAACAGGGGGTGCCCAAGCCTAAATGGGGGACAACGGGCAGTGATTTGTGACCCTTGCTATCTTATCAATATTTGCTTTTTTTTTTACTTACATTTATGTATGTTATAAATTAAAATAAGCTAAACTATTAAAAGATGAAAATTTTCGCGGATTTTGACGTCATTCTGTATTTTCTCTTCTTCATTTTTTGTTCAAATATCAAAAAAAAAAAACAAAAAAAAACAGAATATAAAATTCACTATTTTTTATCCATAATGTTGAATGTGTTAAAATTATTCAACTTTCCAAAAAGAAAAATCTCAACTTGATGTTAAAAATTACTGCAATATATTGTTAGTTTATTTAAGATGGAACGATCTCTCAGCAATCCGCTCCAAATTTCTTATCAATGTTGAATTTTGTACAAATCTGTGCAAAAAGTGGATCAAAGAGCTTACCCAGCTTCATACATATTTTCAGGAAATCTCAACTTTTAATTGGTCAATAAACACACAAGTGGGGCGTTTTCAATCCACCCACGTACAAGTCTTCTTCCAGCGCGTGACCAAATCAAGTTTTCCCGCTTCTTTTTTCAGGAACCTACCACGTGATTATATCAATTATAAATATCAGTCACGAGTTCGTCCTCCCTCTCGCTCTCTCTTTTTGTGATTTCATTCGCCTACGAAAATGTAACCTTAAAGGATTCATGTCTTGACCATGTGCGGTCAGACGCTTATGAAAACATATTCACACATGCACGTACGTACAAAATTTTCCAAACTATAATACAAACATTTCCAAATCAGCAACAAGAACTTTTCTTTTTAAAAATACTCTGATCAAGCTTATTCACACATCTTTACAAAACAAAATTGTAATATTCTGCATATAAAAAATATATTTGTTGTTCCAAACATCCTTTTTGTCGTGATTTAATATCATTATCATTTGTTTTTTTATTTAAATTTGTTTGTGGATATTGTATGTTTAATTTGCAGCGCAACTTTAAATATTCACTCAGCCTTCCTAGATCTAATTTGTATTTAGATACATTGTATTTATTTTCAATTTTGCTAGTTGAATTGATCACTTATGTTACATATGATCCATTATTGTACATAATTAGCTTACAATAGAATTTGTATTTTACATGAATACTGTTACGGTTTTTTGGGTATATATGTATATATGTAACTAGTGAGCGAGTCAGAATGACTTATTTCAGAATGACTTATTTCCCTTTATAGTCTACCAATAGAAGGTTGACCAATCAGAAGCCGCACAACACTGTATCCGTCGTGTATAAAGGCGGCCATCTTTGTTTTCCTACCAACCTGACCAACTCGTCCGGCGAACAGGACAGACGGAAGTACTACGCTCTGCTACCTTGCTGCGATATCCACTGCGAACCTGCACTACGCTTTCCTACTGTCTCCGAAATATTCACTGCCAACCTCTGGATTCTATACTCGAGGACGACCGTCATGAAAATGTCTAACAAATACTACCTTATGAAAATTGAGATGAAGTAGAGTAGAAGGCCTCGTCTCATAGATTCATTGGGAGCCCACGAGGCCTTTGCACCGGCTCTGTATATATGCATATACATATTATTATACAGTACATATTTCTATATAGTTCCATCACCTTAAATGTAGTGTGATGCTACAAACATTGCATCATCCGGCTCAGTCCTCTTTGTTACCTCGTAGAATAAACATTTGTAGTGAACGCATACTTGTGATTACATTAGTGTAAGTGTAAAAGAAATTAATAATGTGCGAAAATTATTGTGCTGTAATGAATAAAGTACATGTACATTACTGTACAGTACAGTAACATGCAAATTTTATTAAAAATTTATTGAATTAAAAGTAGGTAAAATGTGACAATGCTGAGTTCGTTTCGTCTAATTTCTATGTAATGTAAAGTGTGTTTTATTCTAATATACAGTACATAATCATTGAATTTTAAATTGATATACAGTACAGTATAAAAATGTAAAAATATTATAAAGTTTAATCAGAATAAAATAAAATGTATAAAATGCAGGTACAACACGTAAACTACTCAGTAAAATAAACTCCGCATCCAGTTCAGGTTGATTTGTACGTTACATTTCATCACTGCAGTTTGTTCCTTTACATTTTTCCATACAGTTACTCTACTGCACAGTTTAATGTGTTCCAATAAATATTACTCTACGTGTACAATAAATTTTAGTGATTAATTTTTTGTTAATTTTTGTAGCCCACGATGTCACCCAAGAAGCTGGTTGGTACTAAGAAGAGGGAAAAAAATATACGCGCAAATGAAGATCCTTCAGAAGAACGAAGAAGATACCCATATTTCTGACCTTACCAATTTATACGCGCGTTCAGCATCAACAATTTACACTATCTTAAAGAACAAGATAGAAATAAAAAAAAAAAACTTGATATAGCCAAGAGAGCATAATTACCAAGCATCGTCCAAATGTCCTAGAGGTTGAGAAGCTATTGTTGGTGTGGATGAATGAGAGGGCAGATACGAGGGTGATTCTGTGTGTGAAGATATTACATGTACAAAGGCAAGGGCATTGTATGTGGATCTTACCAGGTACATCTTCTGAAGGTGAAAATGCATTTAAGGCAAGCCGAGGATGGTTTGAAAAATTTAAAAAGAGAATCCAAAGTGTAGTGAGACATAGAGAGGCTTCGAACTCTGATAAAGCTGCCTTGTTTCAGAGTTCTTTGAAGTGACCAAAAATACAAACCTGACTCTAAGAGAATTTTGGAAGGATCACTTCAATATCCTAAATTGCTTAAATCTCATTGATAAAGCCTGGGAACGAGTCACAGTGACATATTTATTTACATTATTTGTGTATAATCTTTTAAAAAAAAGTACTTTAATTTTGCATAAAATATGATTTTTATTGATTTTATTTATCAATAATTTTTGGGCTTGGAACAAACTAATTTAATTTCGATTATTTTAAATGGGGAAAATTGTTTCTACATACGAAATTTCCAGTTATGAATACACTCCTGGAACGGATTAAATTCGTAGGTCGAGGTTCCACTGTATATATAAACACTAAGTCAAATGTATATGTATATCTAGAGTTTTTTTGTTTTGTTTTTTTCATTCTAAACTTTAGGAACTGAAAGCAAAAACGTTCTCGGTGAAACACTTCGTTTATAGCTTTTCCACTTTGTCTCATCATCTTCACCTTTGTTTCGGATACTATTATACATCCTACAAACATACAACATTATGTAAGCAAATATATTTCTTCATACAACATTATAAATCCTACAAACACACAATATTATACATCCTGCAAACACACAATATTATATATCCTACAAACGCACAATATTATACATCCTACAAACACATAATATTATACATCCTACAAACACATATGGATGTATGTATGTAAAAATTCACATATGATTAAAAATATGTCTGTAAAAAGATAATTTGATTAAGACAAATGGAAAACTTGTTTTAGATGACGCCTTTCATCCTCATTCCATTTGCCTTGATAAAGTACATCAGAGGACAAAATGTGTCAGCTAAAATAGTTTATATTTTTGTCTTTATACAGGCACACACACACAGATATATATATCTATATATATATTTATATATATAGTTTTTATTATTAAAACTTCTAAACATTTTTCTCTTGAGTTAGATTCTGAGATCTACTACTGCTTCTCTTTTTCCTCTTACATCATCATCAAAATGATATTGTTACCACCAAAAGAAAAGGGTAAAAAATTTTATGCCAATGCATTTCATTTCCTGATGAAATTTATCAAGAACTATATATATATATATATATATATATATATATATATATATATATATATATAGAGAGAGAGAGAGAGAGAGAGAGAGAGATTGATAACCTTAGTGGTAAATATACACATACATATGCAAAATATATAAATATATATACATAGGTACATACACATACATGTATATTTTTTGAATAAAAAATTCCAAGAGGATAGAATCCAGGTAGAACTCAATATCCAGGACAGAGTAAGGATATAATAAAAAGGCTTAAGCACTAATATTCCATGGTCATAATTTATTCCATTGGAATAGTAAATACGATCCAATTCATCAGACCTACAAATTCAAAAGGAAAACAGAAAAGAACAACTCCGGAAATAAAAATAGAACACTTCACTGAAGAAAACAAATTATCAAAAATATTTAACAAAAATAACGTAAAGATCAGTTACAGCTGTACAAAAAACATAACAGAAATAATCAAAAGCCACAACAAAAAAATGACAACCTACAAAAATGAAACCAAGGATCCAATATGCAACTGCAGAAACAGAACATGTCCACTCTAGGGAAATTGCCAACATACGAACACAATATACAAGGCCAAGGTAAGTAAAAACAACAACACTATGCACTACATCGGTGCCACCGAAGGTCCATTCAAGATGAGGAATAACAATCACAACCTTTCATTCACCAACAGGAAATATTCGAACAGCACAACACTTTCTACATACATATGGCAGCAAAAAGACAAAAATATCACACCAACAATAAGTTGGGAAATATTGAAAAAAGCCCCTGCCTACATTACAAAAAAATGCCTACTTTGCCCACACGAAAAAGTAGCAATAATATCACACAAACCGCAAAAGAACTTACTAAACAAAAAATCAGAGAATATCTCCAAATGTAGGCATGAGAACAAGTACCTATTATCCGAATTCATACCAAACGGATAAAATAGACTAACCACCAACAATCACAATTTAATTTCAAGATACCATCAAAATAATTGCATCTATCATTATTATCATTGCACCACCATTAGTAATCACTTTTACCACTTTACAATAACTATTAACTAATAATATTATCATTACCACCAACACCCAGCACCATCACTTACACATCACACCTACTATTAACATATAAATCCACTACAATCATTAACGTATATTACTCCCCCAGCATATTTAATACCTTAAAACAATAAGATCAGATATAATTTCCATATGTAACCATGAGAATAAACACCTAATACCAGGATTCATAATAAATTAAAATAAACAAATAAATATAGAAAATAAAATAAAATAAAATAAAACAACCAACAACCACTTTTTAGTTCAAGCTACCACCACTAGCTACCACCACTATAACTACATTCATGGTTTTATCATTCTCCCACCACTGTTACTAATCATTTCTACCAATTTACAATTTCTACCAATTTACAATAACTATTAGCTAATTATATTATCATTGTCTCCAATCCCTTGCAATATTACTATCACATCATATCATATAGACCCGTTATTAAATTAAACTACCCTCTCACCCAGCATATTAAATATTAAACATCACCATATAAAATAACTAATAAGGATTACAAATTTCTACCTGTTACATATACACAGTCATCAAAAACAAATAACCAGCTTTAAATATAACAAATAAACCCCAATTTTTTTTCAAAAATTTAAAAATAAATATAAATAATAATATTTTTACCTATCATAATTTTACACAAACCCCACCACACGTATATACATACATGCGAGGAAATATTATTCAGCGGAAAAATAAATAATATGACATGTATACATTCACGAGACATTCACGAGACATTTCCGCCACACTTCCAATCTTTAAATTTCAGCATACAAATGCGTATGTATAGACACAACACCACTCGTATACATACATATGTCATAGCCGAAACAGCCCACATATGTTTATATATGTATGAGTCCCGACGGACGACCAAGTATGTATATGTGTCTGCATACATCGATGTTTGCGTTAGTACGATGAATGACAAAACGACGAAATTTCCCCCACCACTTCCACAATAACACCAATACACGCAATCTACATAAACCCAAATTTTTAAAAAAATTAATCAGTTTGTCTGACGATCGCTAAAGCGTGAAACCCAGGGTCACAAACTCACATCTATCCAACCAAATATGTTAGCTCTATCTCTGATATTGAGCGCTTTCTAATAAGTACCGCGCATATAATATATAAATAATTATACATATATATATTTATTTATATTTATATACACTTTTTCACATATATATATATATATATATATATATATATATATATATATATATATATATATATATATATAATCAATGCACTATATACTGATAGATAGATAGATAGATAGATAGATAGATAGATAGATAGATAGATAGATAGATTGTGTATTTAGGCATCAATCCCTGTTTTATACATGTTTCGTTAAAGATAACTGACAAGGGATGAGCTAGGGCAATTCATTTTAATTATGACTTGAGGACACATGGCACACACACACGCACACACACACACACACACACACACACATGACTTTTTTCACTGGATCTAACTAACGCCTTTATCCACTGTGCTATGTGTCCTTGAGGCACAGTGGATAAAGGTGTTTGTTAGATCCAGTGACCCAAAGAGTGTGAGTTAAGGCAGTGGAGAACTTTCAGAGGAAAATCAACAGGAGATAACTGATAACGGACATCCATTAAACATGTCACGTGGAACTAGAACAGTCTACCCCAGTGGGCGAAATAAAGGGTTCGGTTCGACATTCCAACCACCTGAAGAAGGCCGGAGCGTACAACGGCCGAAACGTTGTAATAAATATGGCGACAATAGTCCGAATAATGTAAATAATGTACATAATACTTCATCTCAGAAATATAGACAGATCGTTGTGATTAGTGTGTTGTGTGGATGCTTTTGACCATCAATGTACAGGGATGTCGTATGCATCTCTATATATAGCTGGGTAATCAATAAAAGAAAGATCAAGAGGAAAACTCTTCGTACCCAACGCTATCTAAAGGAATTTTGTCAAAGGCAAATGTGGAAAATTTGTTAAGAATCCTGTATTTAAAGATACAGAAAAAATATCGCAGAGAAAAATAAAATAGCGCTATGCGTTCGAAATTGTAAAAATATTCGAAAATCTTTCAACGTTAAGAAAAGGAAAAGGAAACTATGGAGGACGCTAAGTGATATAAATTTTGATATATTGTTTAAACGAAAGATAATTAATGTTGCTTCTATTGTGAATATTTTACAGCTGTGTAATGTATAAGAATAAGATAGTTGGTTGATTTTGTTTAGCGGCATATCAGCCTCTATGGGTTATTTAATATCGAAATCTAAATATTTTGGACGCAGTTTTATACTTTCAACTACAGATATTTTGTACGCAATTTTATGATTTCAGGATAAATGTTTTTTTAGATAAATAATTTGTAGTTCATAAAATGTATTGTTGGTAATTTTACTATAAAAATGTATTTTTATATTTTTTTTAGTGTTGCATTCGTTGTTATTTTGCTATAAAACTACAGTGTTGCTCATTTTATCATAAAAAAATATAATGTTGATTTTTGTTTGGGGTGGTTCACTATTTGCCCATAGCTGGGACCCCTAACAGGTGCTACCACCCTGGGTCAAGGGAGACTTGGAAACAAGAGCAGGTAAGACATGGTTCCATGCTCCTCAAGACCTCCAATCTTCCAATCAGAGGCCTTGCTGCAGGATGTATTTTATCGTCATATCCAGGACGATAAAAGAAATAAGATAGATCAAAATACCTGTGTACCTGTCTGAAAATACATACATACATGCACACACACGCGCGCGCGCGCGCGCATACACACACACACACGCACACACGTGTAAGTAAATAGGTGGGGGGCTTGAATTCAAGTTAGAACAGTGTCTCTTTACGCACATGAATGAGCGCTTTTTTTCACTGTCTGTGAACAATGTCATGTGTGTGTGTGTGTGTGTGTGTGTGTGTGTGTGTGTGTGTGTGTGTGTGTGTGTGTGTGCGCGCGCGTGTGCGCACGCGCGCATGCGACCAGCCAAGTTATTCAAGTGATTGTTTGCTCGGCTGACACAAGACCGAAACACAAAACTGATGAAAATATATCGATAAGATTATGATTTTTAGATAAATAAATCGATTGAACCCCATATCGGCGTTCTTGGCGGTCTTTAAAAGGCATTTACAGTGTTTTTCGATCAAATAATAATAATAATAATCATAGTAATAAAATTAGTACTAACTTGAGACTTTCTTTCTTTCACGCCCCTTTTTTATCTCTCTCCCCTTTTTCTCTTTCTCTCCCTTTTTCTCTTTTTTCCCCTTTTTTCTCTCTCTTTCATTTCCCCTTCTCTCTCACTTTCTTTCTTTTTTCTGCCATCCTATCTCTCTACCTTTCTCTGCTTTACGCTCTCTCTTTATCTCCTCCTTTTCTCTTTCTTTTCCCTCTCTCTCTCGTTCTCTCTTCTTTTTTCTCTCACCTGCTCTATCTTTCTCTCTCCCGCTCTATCTTTCTCTCTATCTTTCTCTCATCTTTCCTTTCTCTCTCATGCTCATTCTCTCGTCTTCTCTCCTTCTCTTACTTTTTCTTTCGCTCTCTCACGATATCTTTCTCTTTCTCTCTCCCTTTTCTCTCACGCTTTCTCTCACTTTCTCTCTGAGTTCCTTTCTCTCTTCATCTCCCCTTTTCTCTCTTTCTTTCTTTCTTTCTTTCTTTTTTCTTTCTCACACGCTTTTTCTTCATCTCCCTCTTCTCTCTCTCTTCCCCTATCTCTCTCTCTATATATAACTCTTCATCTACCCTTCTTTTTCTCTTTCTTTCTCCACCCTATCTCTTGCTCTCTCTCTCTCTCTCTCTCTCTCTCTCTCTCTCTCTCTCTCTCAGTCACTCTTCCAAAATTGAGGCTAGCCAATTGACGTTAAAGATACACATCTCAACTCTTCAACACAGACTCACATATAAGAACATATAAATAGATGTGATTGTACGTTAGCAAAAACGTGGGTAGTTGCAGGCGTGTACTCCATCATGTATTTACACGTCTGTACAGTATGAAACATTTATATATGTTGAGATGATTAATAATAGAAAGAAGAATTACCCATTCTACAATTTATGTGATTTTCTTCAGTTTTTGTATTTTTACAAATTTTCGGATTCTTCACAAGGTTTTAGTATTTTTACAGTTTCGGCATTTTTTATACAGTTTTAGTGTTTTTTGAAAACTTTTATTTTTCACACAGTATTAGTATTTTTATCACAGTTTTAGTATTTTTCCACAAAGTTTTACTATTTTTACAGTTTTAGTATTTTTTCAGACAGTTTTAGTATTTTTCTCACAATTTTTTGTATTTTTACACAATTTTAGTATTTTTACACAGTTTTAGTATTTTTCATAAAGTTTTAGTATTTAACACAGTTTTAGTATATTTTTCACACAGTTTCTGTATTTTTATCACAGTTTTAGTATTTTTTCACAAAGTTTTAGTATTTTTACACAGCTTTAGTGTTTTTTTACAAAGTTTTGGTGTTTTTTGAAAAGTTTTAGTATTTTTTCAGATAGTTTTAGTATTGTTATGGGGTCCACCCCTTTTTCATATAAGTGGACTCTACCAGTGTACCTGGACTGCTGCCGTTAAATACCCAGAGTTAGACAGTCAGTGGGAGTAGTCGGATAGAGGGAGGATATACGGAGAGAGAGAGAATATATAAACGGAGATAGTGTGAGGTAACCTCTTGTAGAAGTCAGTTAAAAGCACGTAGACTCTAAGGAAGTCCTACTTCGAGACTGTATATATCTATCTGTATTTGCTACTAACCGCGTTCCTGGATTTACTAACAGTATTACCCTTTGTATGATTGTGTAAATACATTTTATTTCTTATATTTAATTATTGCGTTTGTCATTCCTTGGAGACCGAATTCATCTCGGAATCCACAACAACTTGGCGACGAAGATTCGAACACACGCGGAAAACAAAAAATCATATTCCCTCGTCGTCCAACAAACAACTTGGCGACGAAGATTCGAACACACGCAGAAAACAAAAAAAAAATCAACAAAAGAAAAATATTCCCTCGTCGTCCAACAAACAAATTGGCGACGAAGATTCGAACCCAAGCGGATAAGAAAAAATTAACAAAAGAAAAATCTTCCCTCGTCGTCCAACAAGCAAATTGGCTTCGAGCGATTCGAACTCACACGAAAAGAAGAAATAGAAAAATCCTTCCTCGTCGTCCAAACAACAAGTTAGCGACAAACAATTTCGAGGAGTAAAAATACATAAAATTGAGTTATCCTGGAAGATTTTAAAAATATGTTGGTAGAACTGATAAAACACCAAAAAGAGCAACAATTACAAATGCAAAAATACCAAAATGATCAACAGTTACAGCTACAAGAAAAATGGCAAAAGAAAATATTACAAACGCAAAAGGAAAATCAAGATAGACAAACAGAGCTCCAGGAACTAATATTGAAAGTAGCGGGCAACAAGCAATTAAATATTGAAAAAGAAGCAACATTTTCGCAAGACGCAGTGTGGAATACCATAGAGATTTTCAAATATTCTCTAGATGAGGACAAAAATTTTGGAGATTACTTCAGAAGACATGAAGACATCTTTAACATAAACTGTCAAAGTTGGACAGAAGCAAAAAAGCTACGTCTATAGCTTAAAAAATTAGGAACTGAAGAATATACAAAGTTCGTGGATTATATCTTGCCAAAAAAGACGAACGAATTAACATTTGACGAAGCAGTGACATGTCTTAAAGAACTCTTCACCCCAAAACATCACTCTTCCATAGGAGGTGGAAATGCCTTAACCTGGTAAAGGGCGATAATGAAGATTATTCCACGTTTGCCGCAATCGTAAATAAACAGTGTGACGACTTCAAACTAGCGGAATTAACCCCGGACAATTTCAAATGTCTCATCTTTGTTCAAGGGCTAGTTTCTACAAAAGATAGCGAAATGCGTAGAAGAATGCTTGCAAAATTACAAAATGAACCGGGTCTAACATTACAGCAATTATCGGATGATTGCCAGAGATGTTTAAGCATAAAGAAAGCTGCAAAGGACATTGAAGAATCAGCTGTTTCTCATATACGTAAGTTAAACAAAAGTCTACGTTCTTCACCCTCCCCGGAAAGAAAACTAAAATTTTACAATGAAAAAAGATTCTCACCCTCTCCGGAAAGAAAAAGAAAATTTTATGATAAGAGAAAAAGTACAATATACAGGACAAATTATGACGAATATCGAAACAAATATAAGCCCCCTCCATCAGAATGTTATCGATGTGGAGGATTACATTGGAACAAGGATTGCCGCTTCAGATATAAAAACTGTCTTGAATGTGGAAAAAAGGCCACAAGGCATCCCAATGTAGAAATAGAAAAGATACTAATAGAATAAGAGCTACAAGGATGAATAACGATGACAACACCAATGTAAGGAAATATGTGGAACTGGAAATTTTAAATAAAAAGATTAAATTACAACTGGATTCGGGTTCCGACCTCACGATAATCAACTTACAGACATGGGAAAAAACTCAACAGACCTACCATGTTACACACTCAAAAAATTGCCAAGTCGGTTACAGGCAAACGAATAAAATTTGAGGGAGAAATAATCGTGAATGTTAAATTTCACGGCAAAACAAACAAAACTTAAGATATACGTCATGAAAGATTTTTTTACAGTAAAGTTCACCCTGTACAAGGCACAGGTAGAGGGTTACGTTAAGGAGTAGTTTATATGGATTGGTGGGGGGATAACGGTTAACTCTAAATTTGAACAGGTTAAAATCGTAATGATCATCTTCGGGGTCTGTTGCACAGGGCGGTGGTTCGCAGGAAGAAGCTGTTCGAGTGGAACTTGTGCTGTTCACAAAATAAAGTATAAAACATACTCAAAGATTTTTTTTTTTATTATTCAAAATGTATTTCATATAGAAACTCAATCCTAACCGGTTCGAGAGCTACCTGTGGTGATTTCATTTAATTTATGACGGCGGAGACATATGTCAAATTTCTGAAAAATGACACTTTTGTTCCCTTTTTACATTATTCAGTCGGATCGAAGTGTAAGAAAATAGCTGGCGAAAGACAGGAAAAATTCTTTCTTCGAAATTTGTTTTCGTCTCCTACAGGCTTACTCATGTACTGAGCTAGTTGTAATTTTACTTAAGATCAGCTTTGCATACGTTCTAAAACATTCCTGGGCAAACTGCGGCACCTCGGGTCACGTGCGGCCCGACTGGCTTTCTGAATGAGGAAAATACCGTTTATCCAAATGCGGTTTTCTTTCGTTCTCACTTGTTTATTTATGCATAACTACATACATAAACAATGATTCAGTATAATTATTCACACTATTTACACTGATCGGACTGCTGTCCTCATCTTTGTTGCCATATTCGGCCTTCTTCAGCTGACTGGAATTTCGAATCGAACCCTTTATTTCGTCCACCGGGGTAGATTGTTCTAGTCCCATGTGCCGTGCCTCTTCCGGATGTATCAGTTATCTCCCTTTAAGTAACTCAACTTTCCAAGTCTTTGTTCCTCTCTGCTGTAGCCAGGTAATGAACTCACAAAACTTTGGGTCAAATCACTAGATTCAACCAACGCTTTTTATCGATGTGTCCTCGAGGACATCGGTGAATAAATTTTTGGGACTTATAAGCCTAATGTATCAGTAACAATTTTTTAGCAGAGATCATATTACAAATTGTTGTTATTATTGCTTTTCTCTGGCACCCCGTATTGCTGGTTCCCATATTGTATTCATTTCTATGCTTGGTCGGCTCAGATTTTTGTGGCATAGCATATGTGCTGATTCCTTAAGTTTTCGTATTTTCTAGTGATGTTCTCTGTCTGTTATTTCAACCTCATCCCACAGGGGGCGGTGATCCCCTTTTTCCCCTTTATAAGTGGTTGAAACGTCGTGAATGTGGCAAGAAACATGCGAACAATGTATGTAATGTAAATAATTACAATACTTCATCTCAGAAATATAGACGGAGATTAAGTATGTTTCTTGAATTTTGTAAACTTTTGCTGATGATAACTTTTTCATCATTTTAAACCATTGGTGATTTTCAATAAGGAAGATCATACGTGTAAATTTCATTTGCTGTAGAAATGGGAAACGTGCATAATAATTGTTTCTCTGGAGAAGAAATTATTGGGGATTCACTCACATCATAGCAGCAGAAATTAGCCTCGGGTTCACGGAGATAAAAGCATACTTGACAGAAAATAGAACATGCAGGAATAACAGGAAAAACATGCTAAATTGTATGTTAATCTCATACAATTTATTTATATTATTGTGTGTATATTTTTAGGTTACAATTGTTTTATGGTACATGTGATAAAAGGGAGAATTTACTCCATAGTATTACAAGCAGTATCACAGATAAATGTTGGATACGTGTTACCCATACCAAGGTTCGTGGTAAAGAGATTGAATTTAAATTTTTATTTATTTTATACATTGTTTTTATGTTATTTTTTGTTTTATTTTATCTTATTTATAATTTATTATTATTATTATTTTATATCCTATTTATTCATAATAATAATAATATTCCAACAAAATTTATACATTTACAAATGTTTGCCAACTCAAATGAATAACTTAGAAACAAATCAAATACAGTGGCGTGTGTTATTAATCCCACATGCTATAAGTAATAATATTACCTCAAGACTTCAGTGCTTTAATTATAAAAAAAAAATCCCCCCCCACACACACACACTAAATCGAATTTTCTAAATTTCGACAGTAGACACGATTATGATCTTCTGTGGTGGAAATGGCAGCGGTACCGTCAATAATAAAAAAAAAAATCAGCTTGAATATTTTTAGTAGTGCGGGCCGCGTTATAATGAACTATATCAGATG